AGCTAAAAAACATAGAAAGGTAACACTGGATAAATTAATTTAACTATATTTCACATCAGAGTTGTTTCATATATGAGAAATAGCTAACCAGCCTTGCAATCCCAATAATTTTTTTCTTGGAAATAAATCCCATTGCAACTTATTCCTGGAGCCCTTTGGTTACAATTACGACCCAATATATCTGCCTTCCTCTCTGTATGCACATGGCAACATGTACAATGAAAAGAATCTTAGTCAATTAGTAAACGTGAGGTTCACTTAATTTAAGGACACCTTATATGTGTGTGTTGTATATGCATAAAACAACCGTGTTTCCCCAAAAATAAGACCCTGTCTTATATTTTTTTGAACCCTGAAATAAGTACTTGGCCTTATTGCCATGCGCTCAAAAGTCCGATTGGGCTTATTATCAGGGGATGTCTTATTTTGGGGAAAACAGGGTAATACTGAAATTTCATGCATATCCATTTGTAAAACTTCAATAAATTCAGTGGGACTTTCTCTAAGGGCAGTTTATACAAGAGAGCAGTGTAAATATTGCAACTTCAATAACATTATCAATTCGAATCCTTGCAGATAAAAGGAATTTGCTACGTTCTAAACAGAGCATGAATCAAAAGCTTCAAACACTTACCTTTTGATCACATGACAGTGCTTTCCCCAAACACTTAATCCCCTAATTTCTAGTATGCTTTGGTGTTGTCTTTATAATCATCTCATGTCAATTCTTTCATGTCAAAATTAGACACAAGTTGCATTATTCCCTGCATTATTGTAATATCTGGGGGTGGGTATCAATAAGATAAATGCAGTACTGCACTGGAAAGGCATTATGTGTATAGGTTTTATATTTACATAATTTGCATTAAGCAAGGATCAAAAAGCTGTTTGTTGCAAACAGAAACTTTTCCTGTCAGCACAGAAGGGTAAAAGTGCTTAGATCCATAAAGCAGATTATTTGGTTCTTTCTTTAACCTCCCAAGTAGCACATCTCTGTCAGCAGCAGATCTGTCACATGCAGTGTCACTATTCCAATATTAAATACTCTATTTGGCAAGTTTTTTGTTGCTCAGAACAGTGTTTTGTTTGCTTTTGTCCTCAAGCCCAATACTGAAGATCCTAGGACTTATCCCAAATATGCTTTTTCAAAAAGCAACTGGACTTCCTTAGTTTTTCTTTGAAGATGTGTCATAATTTCAAGGATGAAATTTATACAAGGAGTTAAAGCGATTTACATTTCACAGCAAGCAAGAATCATTATTAATGGAGACTTAATTTTCAGTTATTGTGTAATAATTCATAATCATTAATAATGATTAATGATTATGAATAATCAATAATAATTGTTAATTATTTAGTAATTGTCAGTAATTTTTAAATTGAGACTTTGGAAAAAATGCAAAGAAGAGCAACTAAGATGATTAAGGACCTGGAGACAAAAACATATGAAGAACTGTTGCAGGAATTGGTTATGGCCAGTCCAGAGAAAAGAAGAACTAAGGGTGACATGAGAGCAGTATTCCAGTATTTGAGGGGCTGCCACAAAGAAGAGGGGGGTCAACTTATTTTCTAAAACCCAGAAGGCAAAACAAGAAACAATGGATGGAAATTAATCAAGGAGAGAAGCAACCTAGAATTAAGGAGAAACTTCCTATCAATGAGGACAATTAACCAGTGGAACAGCTTGCCTTCAGAAGTTGTAGGTGCTTCATCACTGGAGGTTTTAAAGAAAAGACTGGGCAGCCACTTACCTGAAATGGTATAGGGTCTCCTGCTTGAGCAGTGGGTTGGACTAGAAGATCTTCAAGGTCCCTTCCACTCTGTTAATCTCTCTGTTAATCTCTAATCTCCCTTCCAGGTATATTTGGCAGTTCAAATCTCACCAGGCTCAAGGTTGATTCAGCCTTCCATCCTTCCGAGGTGGGTAAAATGAGGACCCAAATTGTTGGGGACAATATGCCGATTCTGTGAATCGCTTAGAGAGGGCTGTGAAGCACTGTAAATGGTATATAAATCTAAATGCTATTGCTATTCTGATTGATTGTATTAAACCATGTGAAATTCAAAAGGACATGAGATACGGATATCCCTTAAATCCTTTATTGTTTATAGTGGTGCTGGAAGTTTTTAATAGAGATATTATACATAATGAGAATGTAGGCATAAAAATTATAAAGGGAATTTATCAATTGGAAACTTTTGCTGATGATTTAGTTATATTTGAGCCTTGGTGGCGCAGTGGTTAGAGTGCAGTACTACAGGCTACTTCTGCTGCCTGCCGGCTGCCTGCAATTTGGCAGTTCAAATCTCAACAGGTTGGCTCAGTCTTCCATCCTTCCAAGGTGAATAAAATAAGGACCCAAATTGTTGGGGGCAATATGCTGACTCTGTAAACCACTTAGAGAGGGCTGTAAAGCACTGTGAAGCGGTATATAAATCTAAGTGCTATTGCTATTTCTGCAAGACTCAAAAACTTGTATATAATTGATGAAGAAATTAAATGACTTTGGAGCGTTAGTGAGTTTCAAAAGAAATGAACAGAAAACAACACTTGTTAGGAATGTGACTTTTCAAGATTATGAAATATTGACAAGAAACTCAGGTTTCAAAGTGGAGAAAAAGGTTAAATATCTTGGGGTTACATTGACAAATCTAAATTGTTTCAAAGCAATTTTGCACCTGTGTGGAATGATATCAAAAAAGATCTATTAAGATGGGATAGTTTGCAGTTATCCATGTTGGGTAGAATCTCTGTAATTAAGATGGTTTTTACCAGAGATGTTATTTTTATTTCAGATTTTACTGATATCGACAACTGATACTCCATTTAAACTATGGCCAAAGGGCATTTCTAAATTTATATGGCAAGGAAAAAAATCAAGAATTAGATATAAAGTACTGCAAACTACTCAAGAAAGAAGAAGTTTACCAGATTTGAAACTTTACTTTGATGCCTGCTGTTTGGTTTGGATGAAAGAGTGGGTGACTCTCCAAAAGAAGAGATTATTTGAATTAAAGGGCCATAAACTAGGATATGGATGGCACACTTGCTTATGACGTGACAAGGTTAAAATGTTGATTTCAAGAATCACTTTGTTAGACATGCTAGATCCAAGGATTTGGCACAAATATAAAACAAGGTTCTCTACAAAGGTACCTCTTTGGGCATCACCCCAGGAAATCTTTTTCAGAAAAGAAACCAAGGCGAGGCCAGACTGGTGGACTCATGGTCAAATAATATGTTTTAACCAAAGTGATCCTACCCTTAAATCCAAAAAAGAGTGGGAGTCAGAAGGATGTGTTTGTCAGTGATTTACATACTTAGAACGGAAAGAAAGATTTAAATTAGATTTTAAAAGATATGGGTTTGACTTTGTAAAAAATGAATTTGAAATTGTACTGTGTGTTAAGAATGAACATGTTATTGCCAAGTTCTATGAATTGCTATTGAAATTGAATTTGGAGAATGAATATGTGATGTATTGCATGATTCAATGGGCAAAGAATTTTGGGTACAATATAGTGCTTGCTTGAACAATGGGAAAACATATGGACAAAGGGTTTAAAATTTACATTAAATTATAATTTAAAGGATACATTTTATAAAATGAGGTACCATTAGTATTTAACACCCAATAATTTGTCAAAGATATACAAAGATATTTCAAATGTATGTCAGAAATGTAAATGAAAAGAAGGGACATTTTACTATCTTTGATGGACTTGTGATAAAGCAAAGAAGTATTAGAGTAAAATTTATTTTTTAATTCAGAAGATTGTTAAAATGAAAATAAAAATTAAACCAAATATTTTTCTTTTGGGCTTAATGAAAAGAACTTGAAAAAATTCTGGAATCTTGCTGTTATGTATGTTGATAGCAGCAAGAATCCTTTATGCACAAAAATGGAAAGATACTTTTAATTCTAATGGATAAATGGCTGGCAAAACTGATGAAATTAGCAGAGATGGCTAAATGGACTGCTCTAATCAAAGAAAAGCATACATCCAACTTTGTTTTTACTTGGAAACCACTTCTGGATTTTGTGGTTGAAAAAAAATAAAACTCTGGGTTTTACTGATTAGATAACTTTTGTTATAAAAATGGGTAGTATATGTTAAGTATGTAAAAGTAAGAAGTTGAAGATGTAATGATATTATTCTACTACACTAACAAAAATTGGAAGTCAATACTTTTCTTTCTTTTTCTCCCTCTACCCTACATGTCTTTCTTTTCCCTTCCCTCTTTTCTCACTTTAATTTGTCTTTTATACTTTGATAAATGTAATACAAGTATTAAAAAATAATTTCAAGGATGGGTAGTCACTTTTTCAGGGGCTGTCATAACTTCAAGCCATCATTAAACAGTCTTAAGTCAAGGACTACCTGTATGCAACATTTGAAGTAGCTTTGGACTACTCCAAAATGACTCCATTCTACAAAATGTTGACATGCAGCTCTGATTTTGGTGAGGTCCATATTGCATTTAACGCAATGTAAGAAATTCCAAAACATTATTTATAAAAAAATTAGGCACAGATTTTCCATTTTCTTTCATAGCACAAAAATATAAAAACAAGTTACATAAAGCAAGATTCAAAAGCTACTTCAGACCTCTTCAATAAGTAGATTTAAAATTACTATGGTATTGCCTCATTATATACTACATACTATCATTTCCTTACAATAGATATATGAAGAACTAACTCACATATTGCAAGAAATCACTGTATACTGTATACTGTGTCTGAGCAACAATCAGCTTCAGTTAAACTTTATGTTTAAAGTATGCTATCAAAATTGCTTCCAATGGAATTTAGGAACTCCTCATCTTGGGTGCTGTAAGTATCAAAATTTGATATATTTATGGTGTTTGGATTGTTGGCCAATCCTGATTCATTAAGGCTAGCCAGATAATGAAAAGTTGGTGTCTCAAAAATATTGGACATAGAGGTCAAAGATAAGCTAGAAGTGGTTACTGTTGATATGGCAGGAGGCAGCAATGGTTGGACTTTCTTCCTGTGGTTGCTTGGATTTAAAGCTTGAACAAAAGATGACTTTTCCAAGTTAACATCTGAGCATCTGGAGTCTTCCATCTCCATGCTAATGCCATTGGACACTGCAGCATTTTCTGGATGAATAGACTGGCTGTCAACAGTGCTGGAGACATTCCGGATTTCTTGCTGAGACACTGATGGCGAAGGTGATGATGATGACATTGTTGACTCATGATCATTCATTGTTCCAAAGAATCCTTGATAAATGTTCCCCTCTTTCTGAGTGGCCCAGTTCAGACTCTTTTCCTGTCCAAGACATGGAGAGCTACCATTCTGCATTGTAGGTTGCAACGTATCACCCAAGTTTCTCTGTTGCAGCAAAACACTTAGAGGTGAAACAGAGGAATGCCAGCAAGATGACAGAACCCCATCCTGCTTAACGGACTCTGTCATTTGAAAAGGTGGACCAGGATGTCCATTGGAACTTAAGTGGTTTAAAGGAGGGGAATAATATGGCTGCAAGGAAGGGATGCTTGCAGATGTTTTCTGCAGTGGGATGGCTGTTTCAATCGGTGAGCAATATATATTTGGCTCTGTGAAAAAAAGTCATCATTGATTAGGAAAGTCTTATTACAACAATTCTTGAATATTTTCCACACTATCTTCTCATTTATTATAGAATTAGAGTGAAAGCTGTGTTATACTTTATCAGACTTTTGGTCTATCTAGCAAAGTATTGTTGGCACTAGAATTATATTTTTCTATCCCAAGTTGGAGGTGCTGCAAACTGAACCTGGAACTTCCTGTATGCAGGGTTTTGACACAAAAAGGTCTCCTTGAAAATCCATCACCATTACACACACAAAGTGCTCAGGGCCACACAGCTGTATTCCACTTAACCTGGTAGCCTACATTCTTATAATTCCAAGCCAGTATAGACATGGCAGTTTTAACTATAAGAACTGTAATCCAATACAGCTGGAGGCTACTAGATCTGGAGAAGTCTCCTGTACAGCATTCATTCTACCTTTCTTCTCCTTTATATATGACAACAAATTCATGGAAAAAAGAAAGATGTAGATTTCCTGAAGCAGATTTGGTAAGGTTTCATGGGAACTAATAAAAAAAAATCATATTCAACCTGGTGTATATTCTGTCCATTAGTAATGAATAGAGAGGTGTAGAACATTCCATGCATGGCTTTTCTGATCCAGACATAAATGGTTTAATGGAGTTAGGGTTATGGAAAAAGCCAAGGAAACTGGTGGCCAAAATGGGGCAGGGAGAGAGGAAATGAAAAAATGCTCAGAAAGTCAGGGAGCAAGGGGATTAATGGGATATGTTGTCTTGGTTATTGACAGCAGCAGTAGCTGAATGGACTGAAAACTCTAGGAAAATAGGGGTAGTGGGATTGAGGCATATTCAGTTTGGGACAGCAGTAGCTGAGAGAAAGGAGGCAAAGTGGTGGGAAAATTGAGACAAGGGCAGATGCATGGAAGAACCTTTGTGGAGGTGGCTGGCCATATAAATTTGATAAATAAAGAAATAAAATAAATCAGCAGGTGAGGAAGAAAGCTAGTGGAATATGCTACATTGGCATACATTAAGTGAGGTAATGGAGAGCAGGCCAAGAGTAGAGAAGAGGGAATAGATGGATCAGTGAATTACCCATGCTTGGAGCCGCTTGGAACAGGGCAGTGCAGTAATGCATTCCAACAATAGACTGGACTAGAACAGGAATCTTTAATTACCCAGAATGTTGTATAGGCCTCAAAAAACTTAATTAATACAGTATACACCAAAACAAATTTTACAATACTAAAATATTTTCTCTTTTAATATATACCATTAAAATACTATCATGGAAGAGATAGGAAGAAAGACAGTCAAAGTGCCAGAACAAAGAAGGCATAAAAAAAAAAAAGAATCTACCTTTCTTAATGAATTTTCCTTCACTGGTAGCAGTCTGGAACAGAGCAGCATTAGACCTTTCATAGGGACCTATGGAAAGAATACTTGTTATCCTAAAGGATATCAATTCTATAAGGATGATGATATGATTCACCCAATATAATGAAGACTGTATTCCCCAACATACTGTATCCCCAATTATCCAATTTTAGCCTCAAGAGTCTAAATCCAGCCTCTGAGTGCTAAAAGAAATGGGGCCAAGAAACATAAGAGGGAAGCATCAACATCGCTTTGGAAGTCCTTAGATTTGTAATTCCTCCCCCATAAAATATAAGTCCAACTCAAGAATGCAAAATATTGGGGGGAAAAAAAACCCAGCCAGTGAGAGTCAAACTCATTGAATTAAGAAGAACAAGAAGACAATGCAGAGAGGCCTTCTTGTAGCAAATCAGCAGTGAGGTCTCATCCCATTCCATTTATATATATCTAAGCCAGCCTCCAATTCTCTGTCTTCTAAATTCTATCGTGGTTCAGTTTAGTGGACCTGGACACATTAGGAGAGAAGTTAGACCCTACCTAGTGATACAATGGCATTCTTGTCACTCCCAAACAAGTGAATAAAGGGTATCAATTGCAGGGACGGAATAAACTACAACATCACAAATTTTGACTTAAGTATAATATCACGTGGCATGGTGCAGCTTTTACTGAAAAGAAACCCATAATGTTCTGCCCCAGCTCCGGATTCCCAAGGATTGTGACACACACCAACGGTCCTTATCAAAGTTATAACTAAGAATAAACAAAGTCCGGCAAAGGTTGGCAACCAGCCCAGAAAACAAGATACGATAAGACACTCACTCTCCAAAATACTCTGTAATAATTACACATTGTTTCCAGCAAGAAATTACTAACTGTGTGCGACTTAAATAGGCTAAGGGAGTGGCCAATTATCCTCAAACCTTACTCTTGAGGAGACCTCCTCCTCCTGAGTAGCCACTCCTGCCTTTTGGCAGCCGTGCGTGCTCAAGCATTGAGGAGAGGCTCCTCCACTTCTCTCTCTCCACTTGAAGGAGCCTCTGGAGATTCTGAAGGCCCTGGCTGAGTCTCTGCCTCTGGCACCACATCCTCTTCAGCATCCTCGCTGTCCGACGTGAGTGCCGGCTGTGCCGGCTGCTGGCGCAACCCCACACCAGCCTCCTCGTCGGGATCAGCCACGATCCACGCAGGCCGTTGGCAGGCCACAACACATAATGGTTTTGTAAGGCACAGGCTTCTATTTCCCTACACAGGACTTCTGAGTCAAAATATTCTCAATTCAAATGATGCTAGGAAGCCTCAAGGATAAACCCAGTGTGGGAGAGAGGGGTTTCATGTTAGAAGAACAAAATAAGATGGGATGAGATATACTCTTACCAGAGTCTTGAATGAGCTTTTGTAAAGCCATTGGTGACCTCTGCCTCTTTGCCTTATGGCCATAAGGATCTGAAACAGAAAGGAAAAAACAGCATTTTGACTAATCATGTACACACATGTGATGATGTTGGGAATGTTTGCTGAAAAAGAAAGGTTTAATTGTGTGTTCTATTTGACTACAATGAAATATAGAATATTATCTTACATAGAGTTGCCTTCTTACCCAGCCTGGTATATTTGGACAGAAAATAACTCTCTAAGCTTCTTCACACAATTTGCTACTTTGTTTTTGAATCTAGGGTCTTCTATATGTGCTTTTGCTTCTTGCTCTATAAACTTACAATTTAAATATATTAACATACGCTAGCTCCTCCCAAAGAAATTGGCAACATTCTTAAAATGAAAAGCTCCCGTAATTCTCTTCTCTCTTTTGGCATTTTTTTCATTAGCCCTAAGGTTTTCCAATTAACTAAGCTTGCAGAGGTCTAAATGAAGAACTCTTGCTGTAATGTATTTTCTTTTTTAAGAGAGTAAATATTTAGAGTGCTGAAAGGAAGTTTTCTAACATAAAACAAGCAGTGAGACAACTATAAATGCTGCTTCCAAAGGTTGGCACTACTTTGGGAGATGGAAAGATTGAAGCTGTATAAAGAATTGGTATACCATATTCCCCAACATTCAGGGAGTGAGGGAAATCTCCGTAATTAATCAAATTTGGGGTTCTCACTCCAAGCTTTTTCCATGTATGCCAATTTGGCAACTTTAAGATGTGTGGGCTTCAACTCCCAGAATTCCCCAGCTAGCAACATTCCCAAAGCAAGAAAGCTGCAGCCTGGTGAGAGTGAGGCTCACATTGATCTCACCCACCTAAAAGAATGCATTGTATGTCTGCAATGCAAGCCTGGCCATCAACCTTCTCATGCTTCAGTACCTCAGGTGGTTGACTGAAGCCTATTTTATTTGTTTTGCTTTGGTTTTTACAAAAGTTTGTTTCCAAAAGCTTTCTCCCACCACAATTTTCAATGCCTCCAAGGAGTCAACTATGTGGACAAGCCTGCTGTGTGGGCAACCACCAGCCTTGTTTCTAAAGCACAGGCAAAGGTAGATTATGGCAGCAGCTTTTAAAATGACTTCTTCCTTTTTGTCTTAAAGCAATCTTCTTCAGCCTGAAGTATACTGAATCTTAACTCTCAGCCTTTCCAGTTAGCACAAGACCATGCTGACTGGGAATTCTGTACATGATGCTCTAGAATATTTGCAGACCACTAAGCTGGGGAAGACAATAATACCATATACTGACAGAAGAAGAAATTGTTCCCAGATCAGAAATCTGTAAGTTCTTTTCTAAACTAGCATGGGCCCTAATTCAAAAGCAGTAACTAGTCCTACCTCAAGAAATGTGCACAAGAATGTTACCTTTTTCATCTGGTAAATATCTAAAGTCCATAGGATCACTGACTTCCTGATCTGAGGGCCTTCGCAATTGCATCTTCACAGTCACAGGATCTGAGATATCTTTGAAAAATGGGGGCGTCTTGAAGACAATTGCTACTTGACGATGAACATCAGCTTGTGAAAAAATCCCCTTGGCTTCCCAGTCATTCATGAAAAATCTCACTTCTATATCATCTGTTCATCAGAAAGATATAAATATCACACTTAATTTTAGGAATAAAACAACAAACAATAGTTCAAAGAGTATTTTTTTTAGCATGAAATACCAAAAAGGATCAGTTCTCCTTTCTATATGGATTGTAAATGTCATAGCAATACATCTGGCATACATATATTTGGGAAAGAATAGCACTTAGAAATAGCCCAGTTTAGCCAGCTTTCATATTTTATTAAGACCAAGATTATGAAAGTCTTGAATTTAACATGGAATGTTTTTTTTTACCTTAGAGGATTTCTTTTATTTAGTGCGGCATTTCTTAACTTTTAACAATTTTAAGATTTGTGGAAATCAACTCCCAGAATTCCCCAACCAGCATATTGAAGGCCACATGTCTCAAAGTTGCTAAGATTGAAAAACACTGACATAGTAGACTTGAATCAGAAGCTTATTAATTAATCTTAACTCCACATCATTTCATCACTGGTCATTCTAGCTGATGAATATAGAGTAGCTTTTCTAAATTTGGCATTTACTGAAAGTGCCAGTCGCCAGCTCCTGTCATCCATAGTCAGTGGCCATATTGGGTGATAGTACTGGGCATAAGACATCTGGATGGCCACTGGTTGGGGTGGTCTGGTTTACGACGTAAGCTAACTAAAGCTTATGTCTGGAGTGCCAGTGCTAGTTATTCTGTAACATGTGAAATATCACAGACGTCTGCTGCAATACACATACAGTACAGGCTTAGCTGCAGCCCCGGAACTACTTGAAAAGCAGTTTTGCACTTTTAACACTGTGGCTGCAGGACTGGCCATTTCCCATTGGCAAGGAGTGTTGCCTTGCCCCATTTCCCTAGCTCTCTGGAATATCTGGAAGAGTTTCTCCCATTTCACTGGACTCTTTAAATTAAGCAGCAGGACAATTTTGCAACTTTCCCTTACACTAATCCATTTTTGTTCTTCTTTACACACACAAAAACCCATTACATATTAACACTAAGATGCCAGTTTTTGCATTTCCTCCTTGATCAGCTGAAAGGAGTCTTGATTGAGTATTGAGCAATTCTGGGCATCCTAAAAATGACAAGGGTGAGGACAGGAAAATGCTTCTGAGTTCAAAACTAGTACATGCATTGTTTCATAGATCTACAGTATATAAATCAATGGATTATACAATGTTTGGATGGAATTTGAATCAAACTAGACTTCTGTTTTGGTTGCACCATTCCACCGCCCAAGTTATATACTCAAATATTACAATATTTTGCAATTCAGTGGATATTTGGCATTCAGTTTAACCACTTCCATTTTCCCGTGAAACTGTACATGTATACATATAAAATTGGTTGCTTTTTCATATCTCATTCTTTGATATCTAAAGTTAAAGTTTATAGTATACATGGTATTCCAGTTTCCAATCACCTTTCTGAACTTTGTCACACAATAGGAAAATTTCATCTCCTCCTTTCGCTGTTCCACAGTTCTTGTTCACACGGCAGATTCTCAGTTCAGCTGAATTGGGTGCACCTAAACAGAAAAAGGAATTAATGATTGGGGGAGAGAAGAGTAAAGAATGGCTATTATGATTGCATATGTCTAAAACTAGAACTAGGGGAGAGAAAGTTCTGCAAGCAACTCTTTATCTGAAAATAGGTAAAGCACAGAAAGCAATAGATACATTTCAAGTGTCCACATAGCCCCCCTTTTCCCACCAGCATTTTACATGACATCATTATGCCCACTATCCCTGATGTCCCTCCTTGATAATGCTTGCTGTCTTTCTTTAGTTCTCAGCACAAAATTTAATGGTTTTCTGTTGTCATTTTGAATTCTGAATTAAGTATCCATTTTGTTGCTCAAAAACAGGGCCCTATCATAGCAAGAAAATATGCAGGGTAATTAATCTGTTGGGTAATTAATCAAGGGATTTATTTCTTGAATATTATCATGAATGGGCTTAACCAAAGAAGTGAACCTCTTCCTTTCTGTTTGGGTGTTGGTCAGCATCTGCCACCACTATTTTCCCCCCAACATTTGCCTTCTCAAATAAGGCCAGATCTCAAAAATTTTTTACTGCCTCCCCACCCTTTTAAAAATCAATCTTTAGCTGTATAAAAGTTTAAAAATACATTCAATCCTTTTTTTTTCTTGCCTGCCCTACTCACTTGTTACACAAAAGCACAACAATCTATTAAAACATGTTCAAGAAAAGGAGTGGTTTTTGCAGCCCCGTGATTCCGTTTGCCACTAGAACAGCGAAAATCAGCTGTTCTAGCGGCTTGAAACTCTCCCCCAGGGAAAAAGGGGGAGAGAAGAGCAGAAGGGTCTGGGTAGAGCTCCCCTAGACCCCCAGGCTTTTTTTTTTAAGCTTGGGGCTTGCAGGGTGAGAGCTCCCTGAAAGCCCTTCAGTGCTCCGGATCCGGGACGATTCTGCTTTATGCAGAACAAGGGGTCGCGACCACACCAGCAGTGCAATTTTAAAGATTATGAGAAAATTTGAATCTGGATGCTGGCAGAGCAAAATCAGGAGAACAGAAAATGCAAGTATTAAACTTTAACTCCGTTTAAAACAAAGGAAAAAAAGATGGCACTTAAGGGCGGCAAAACGAAACTTATAAGTGAAAGTGATCGTTAAAGCTGCAACATTGTAAAAGCTACTGGATTACCTGGCAAGAAAAAGGATTTAAAGTGCTAGTGAAATGAAAAAGACTATGGTATTGATTCCAACTACTTTATACTTCTAAATTGTGTGAAAATTATTGGATTTATTGATCTGATAGCTGAATAAATTTAAAGTGGAAATTGAACTATGGCTGACATCAAGGATGGAGAATCATTACTATATGAGCCAGCAAATTCACAAGTTGTGACTGTAAAGGTTTTATAAGAACTTTTAAATTTCTATACTTCTGCTATATTGGAATCAATTGAAAGGACTATTCAAAATTATAATCTGGAGAACAACAATGTTTTGCTGGCTGAAAAAGAGGAGAAAATCAACTTATTTCGACTTTGGAGCAGGGAAAAGAAACAGTCAGGATCACGATGGAAGTTGGCACACTGAAAAAAGAGGTTTTCGCAAAAGCTTCTATGCAGTTAACTGAAAAGCAGCAAATAGACTCTTTCCCGCAGATTGTTTCAAGGAAGGAAGTAACTGATTATATAAGCAGGAAGAGTCGAAATGGAGGTTTTGAATTGAAGGAGATAATTTTTAGAAGAGAACAATTTCCAAAGATGCATCAAATCTATATTCAAAAATTTTCGAAAATAAAAACAAGGGGAGGAACAATGTTGAAGAAAGTACTATTGCAGAAGAAGGACTGGAAAAAATATAGAAAGAAAGGAAGAATTGAAGATTAGTTTCTTTTGGGGAGGATTTTAATACTAAATTTGAAAAGTCTACTGAAATTAGTATTTTTTAAGTTTAAGTAAAAATGTTTAACTAAAAATGGATAGCTTTTTAAAAAAATATCAAGGTATTAAAATGGTTAACTTTAAACTTAATTGATAACTTTCTGAAAGTTTTGAAACAGATATTTTGAAGGATGAACTCAAGAGTTAGAAATAATTTAACTCAATGGATTAATAGTATTTTTAAGGTTATATTTTGAAGAATATTCTATTGAAGTGTTTTTTTTTAAAAAAAACTGGTTAATGTAAAATTGAATGGATATAAAATAATATTTTTTTTCTTAAAAGATATGCTTTAAAGAAAGTTTTATAATGTTTAAATTACAATTCTAAAAGGGGAGGCTGATGAACAATTTTTAAAAGAGGAGTTAAAGAGTGTGATGGGGTTTTGAACCTTGTAGTAAGTTAGTTTATTTTAGCTTATGTTTGTTTAATGCTATACCCTGTTTTTGCTCTGGGAAGTCGGGGGTGGGGGTGGGGAAGGAGGGGTTGAAGGTTGTGTGGGGATAAAATGGTTGTCTAATTCTTAATAAAATTAAAAGATAGTTTAATAAATGTATTATTAATAAATGTATTAATAGAGAAGTAAGAAAAGAAAAGGAGCGGTTTTTATAAAATGATGAGGTATAGAGGTGTGGAACTCACAAAGGGAAATATAACAGTTTTCAATTATCCAAAAACATGTCTGGCAATTTCAAGGGCTTCACTAACTAAATTCTACTCAGTTTTGCTTTCTACCCAAGATTCGAGTCTTTCAGTGCCAAATAACATGCCACCAGTCTTTAAAAGCATACCAGGAACAGGGGAGGGGCAGAGTTGAATTTTCAGAAAACTGAACTGGTGCAAGGTTGAAATAGCATCAAACAAAACCAAGAATCCCATTTTTCTTCCTTAAGGCACCTTAATTTGTAACCATTTCCTGCCTCCATTGACATTGGAGGGAAGATAGCAGAGGAGCTAATTAAGATCACAATGGTTTTTGAGGGGTCTTTGCTGCTCTCTGAGCTTGGTTGCTTTCCTGAAGACATTTCATTACCTAAACTGGGTAACATCATCAGTAAAAGAAAACAACCAAGTTCAGAGAGCGGCAAGGACCCTTCATTTCAACCCTGAGCTATAAATATTCTCCTTTATTAGCAGAATGTTTTCTCCTAGCAGAAAAAGATTGGGCTTTAAATAAGCAGTGGGAAAATGGCCATATGCTTCATAACTTCATATTCACTGTATTTCATTAATACGATATGACATATCATATGTCATATATGTACTGAAATATAGCACAATTTGTCATTGTCTGAAAATATATTTCAGCTGGAGAATAGACATTCAAATTGAATTCTCTGAATATTCAAAAATTACGTGTCTAGTAAAGATGCTTTCATTTATCTTCAGTTGTCCTTTGGGGAGAAGAGAGATGAAGCAACTCCATAGAGAACAACTGGGGCCAAAGAGCATGTAGGGAACACAGCAGAAGAAACCTGACATGAAGTAAACCCTGTTCTTAGATACTTACGGTTATCATAAATGGGGTTGGAGATGACTGGGGATATAGGTTGTGTGCAGTTGCCATGTTCATCAGAGACGAATGCTTGGAAACAGAGTCTCACCACATTGAGATCATATTCTTCAACTGTCAACAGCTGTTCTTCAGAAACTATGAAAAAAAATGATGGGATAGTGTATTTAAATTGGGAGTAATAAGAAAATGGAAGAATGCTTATATCCCAGATTCTAAATGTTGGTTAAATGAAATTTCTAGTTTTTGAATCAGCTTTGTACCAAAGGAGAGGTGAAACTGGAAAATACAATTATGTAGCGCTTAGATTTAATTAAATTATCTTAATAAAATTGCTCTGTGAATGAGATGGCAGTCTCTAAATTTATAAACAAACAAACAAATAAAATACTGGAATCTCTCTCTATATATTTAATAACCTGTGTGTGTATGTTTATAGATCTATTTATCATCTCCCTGCCCTGCCCTGCCCTGCCCATCCCGTCCGTCCGTCCGTCCATCCATCGATCCATCGATCGATCGATCCATCTATCTATCTGAAAGCTATTTAGAAATTGAAATGTTTTTGAAATACCAGACTTAAAAATTATTGAAAAGAAAGGGAAAAAAATCTGGAGAGTTGACGTTACAATACCTGGAGGCAGCAGGATAGAAAAGAAAGAACTGGAGAAAATCACAAAATATAAAGACCTGCAAATAGAAGTAGAACAACTGTGGCAAAAGAAAGCAAAGATAGTACTAATAATAATAGGCACCCTGGCTGTAATCCCAAAACATCTGAAGTATGAATACCATGGGCATTGACAAAATCCCCATCAGTCAATTGCAAAGACAGCTTTATTTGGAACAGATAAATCCTGCGACAATACATTTAAACAACAATATCTGTCTATCCCAGGTTCTTGGAAAGGATATGGACAAAAATGGTAAATGCAGTCTAAACATCCAGCTATGTGACCAACTATAGTAATAAAAGTAGGTTAAACCTATATAAAAGTCATATCCTATTAATTAATTGTTAAATATATTGTAAACTGTAACCCCCCCAAAAAAAACAACAACCAGCAGTGGCCATATAATGAACCCCTATTTCAGAAGCCAGAAGGTGGGTCAAAATCCTAAGCCTCGTTCTCCCTTGGCAATTTTCTGAAATTGGTTTGAGATGATGGAAGTTGCAGTTGCTAGCCCAGTGTTGCAGAAAAAAGCACTATCAGACTTGGGTTATAATTGTAATCTGGTGGTAGGCTGGAAGCTTCTAATCTTACAGTAGAATTTAGCATTTTCACAATAGGGAAAGGGAAATTCAGAATCATTTATTCTTCCTGGGAGTTCTCACTGTCCTCAAATTTTTGTTGCCATCTGTGAAATTAAGTTTCCAGCATCATATATAACCAATGTTCCCATTGATCTCCCAATTCCTATTTTGTTAGGGAGGGCAGCATGAATGAAATTTAAAATGGAAATGCCACCCACATTGTGGTGATAAACTGCATATGTTACAGAAAAGTAAAATATTGCTTCCATCATAATTGTAGTCCTACTTACATACCACAAGGGATGTGACACTTCTCCCACTATGGTTTTTATATCTTATTTGTTTTCTTTTTATTAGATGAGGAGGAGGAGGAGGAGGAAGAGGAAAACTATAGTACACTAATGTGAATTGATAAGGATAGCTGAAAGAGAAAGTATATCGATTCCACTGTGCTGTAGCCACTGTGCAGCATCTTATCTATCTTGGTTCTAATATAATTATATCTCTTTACATAATTGTTCTTTATACATACACATTCAGGAAATATGTTTTATTGTATTCTAAAACTAAACATTTGCATAGTTCATGGTACATTTAGAGGTGCTTTTATATAATCAGCTCCTAGTACAATAAGCCAATCTTTTATAGGATTTTTTAAAAATGCAGGAAAAATAGTAATGGCAATATCTGAATCCAACCTAACAAACATGCATTTAAACTGTTACTGTCATCATATCCATGTTTCGTTGCAATATAACACAGCTTATGTCTGGGCAAAATTGTTGGGTAGGATTCTATGTGTGTGTGTATTTGCATATAAGTTTGTGCTATATAATATTATAGTATACGTAAGTTGTAATACACATTCTGCACATGACGGAAATTTTTGCATTACATCCTTAATATGATTTTTTTTCAATCTGAGGCTCAAAAAGAGGAAGTGCATTGGTCTTGAGCTATTTTTAAAATCTATTTCCTATTACAAGAGTAAAATAGAACACTGTAAATACTCATGTTTTCCTTTGCTACCATTCTGATAATATTGATAGGCTCTTAACATGAACAAACTGAATAACCTTTAAAAGCATTAAGGTAGGTCAGTGCTATTAACATATTTATGAAGATCCTGAATTTGAGATCACCTTCACCCCAAAGAAGAGTCAAGAACAAAATTATAACCACAGGGAACAATTCAGTGTTCAGTGCCCAAATTCTCCATCTTGTCTATCTATGGTTGTCAACTCCAGTTCAAACCAGGCTTACAGATTCCCCTCCCACCATGTCTCTAATAAATGTATCCATGTACAAAAATTTATGTTTGTTCTGTATATTATTCATTCATGTATTTATCTGTTTAGCTCGATATATAACGTCTTGTATATCAAGCTATATAGATAAATACTCAATTTCTTAACAGCTTATAATAAAACAAATGGATACCAACCCACTAAAACAATGAACAATTAAAACCAACAGACAGAAAGCTAATAATAACAATTAACAATTAATTAATACTTAAAAGCCAGTTTTAAAAATGTTTTCTAAATGCTAATAAAGATAGCGTACCTCCCAACTCTGCAGGAAATAGATTTGTGTATATTACATATGCTTGCTACAAGCCTTGCCCCCCAAAGACCAGGCTAGGTTATAAAGTAAATACATATTACTTCAATTAATCACCCATTACAAAATATCCCACCTGCATATATTAACTGTCCTTGCACGCAACACTAGAAGTGTTCCCACGCCCAGAAACTTATAAATATGCATACATTCCTGAGAGAATAATGGGGTAAGAAGAAAAGGGGAACTGCTCTGGAAAGAAAATGAAAGAGAACCGGGAAACAACAAGGGGTGCAGACCAAGAGAGATGAATTGGCAGGTGATAAGGAAGGAAAAATGATAAAAACTCCCTTGAGGTCCTACAAGAGGAGGCAAATTCTGTAGACAAACAGGCCACCCCAAGAAGAAGCTAATCTTCAAAGGCATCCAGAGTACCTTTGTGGCAATTTATATCTCACTTGTCCCATATGTTCTTTTATTGGTGAATGTAAAATGATCACCATCTCCATCTCTATTCACAGGCAAGATATCACTGCTGTGGTGACTGAAGTCTGCCCATGAGTTGTGAAAGAAAGATCAGAAAGCCACATCTGATCTTGCACATTATATTCCCCAGGGGCAACTACTGCACATTTCCTCCTTTTAAAAGGTGCTTCCTTTTCGAAGCAACATTATAGGATGTTTTTCCAAAGGTCGCAGTTCAACAGGTGTTTCCGGTGTTTCAGTTAACAGTTCTTAACCGCTAGACTGTACTATCTTATCAACCCTTTTCATGTTCGTATCACCACGATCATCAACATTTGTTGCTCTGGCCTATTGCAAGCATTAAGAAATCAGAAGTGGACTTAAGAAGAAAGCATCAGTGGTACAAATTCTGCATAACTCACCTCTGCATTTGTCATTACTGGCAATGAAATTTTGTTGGTTCTGGTACTATACAGTAATGCACATCTTAAGGAACATATTTTGTAAAAATTGGTATCGCAACTTAAATTTATTTATCAATTTTATATAACCACCCATCTCACGAAAAAGCGACTCTGGGAAGGGTATAACAATACTATAAAACAGCTAACTTATTAAAAAAACAACAATTATTATTTTAAAAAATTATCATACGTCTAAGAGAGGACAACAGATGTTAATAACGTTAGTCCCCTGTATTTTATAGTACGTTATTACCTTTATCTCATTGTAATCTTATGGTACAATATCTTACCCTGAGATAACTTTTTCTTTCTACTTTTATTAGCTTTCACAAGGTGTAATTAATTTGATGCCTGGAAAAGAGGGGAGGCACTTGCAACCTTGACCACAATGCAAATGTCCACAGACATTCGAGAGCCACAGAGAGAGTGCTTGCAGCTTTGCCTTCTTTCAAGTAATTGCTTCTTTGTAGAATTTAAGAAGGGTTTCAGAGAATGACTTCTGTTTGTAATTCTCCTGCACCTGTTTCCTTCTATAGAAAATATATAAAGGAAAATAAGAGGCAAACACTGAGGTGCAGTGGGCTAATCCTTGTCATCCAGTCCTAGGGAGAAAGCAATGGCAAACCACTTTCAAAAAAAATCATGCCAAGAAAACTATAGGGATTGTCCAGGCAGTTGCCAAGAGTCAACACTGATTCAAAGGCATAAACACATAAGACGAGGCAATAGCTCTGCACTGTCTTTTAGTCAAAGTCAAACACACTATGAGTAGGGTGAGCAGGCATTCCAGATTTGCTTGGTTTCAAGGAGGTGTTCTGGCTCCTGGAATATGCTTTTAAACTAAAAAAATAATCTGGCTTTTAGGAATCTGAAAACAGACTAGGCAGAGACAGCACAGCACAGGAAATAAGTTCCTCATTCACAATTTCTTGTATCTGTGCAACTGTTAAATAGGACTACTGTATCTAGGTTGTACAGCATCACTAGATGGCAGTCATATGGAATATACTTGCTCTATGCTGCCATCATTGCCCAAATGTTTGCCGTCTAAATATGGTAGCCTAAATCTATGTACTTGAGGAACAGCAGGCAGCAACAGCAGTGTGCTAAACAATCATAGGTTTCTATCAGTTCATCAAAATCTCTTGGTAGAATTTGAGTTTTCTTTCATTAGGTTTGGGAATGAAAATTGTAAATTGGAAGATGGGAATTGAGAGAAGATTGACGTTTTTTAACTACTAGGTAATAAAAGGGTTTATTGCTTATTACCCAGCCATTAACACAGTTTGACCCGGAAATCATTTCAAATACAAAATAAAACCACAATAAAGAACAGGAAGTTTCTGGAATTATTGAAAACTGCTTCCTTTCAGCTTCGTTATAGTTGGGGG